TCTCTCTCTCTCGCTTACACTGTTAACTTCATTCCAGGCTTCGTCTGTATTAAGCTCTCTGACTTCATTTCTCTCAAAATATTTTGATCAAAAAATGGCGGTTTCTGGGTCTTTGGTTGGACCAAGCGTATTCTCTGCACTATTTCTGAGACCCACAAGGCCAAGCCTTAGCTGTAAAAAACATGTTAGTCAATCTAATGCTCAGTTTTCTTTACCATAATTGCCATATTCTCTCTGCGTTTCTTCACCTAAAATAAGATGTTTGCTGATTCTCATTTATTTCTTTTTTTGCTTTGTTTTTAAAAGATTCTGGTTTTTGGATCTGTGATGTGGGATTTCTTTAACGTTCATGTCTTATGGATGGTGCAAATGGTGGTTGATCTTTGCGTTTTCAGTTCTGTCTGAGAGCCTCTGCCGAAACCTTGGACGATGAGGAATGTAAAACGATGATAACGAAACAAAATGATGGCTGGAAGATCGATTTCTCCAGGAAGAAACCGGACACGCCATTGTTGGACACCATCAACTACCCTGTTCATCTGAAGCATTTATCCACAAGCGTAAACTACAGGATCATCATGGGATCCTTTGTTTCTCTGTTAATCTGTTTACGGAAGTCTTCATTTTCTTCTCTTATGATTGGCCAGCTAGTTCCTGTTATTTGTTTTTTTGTTTGCTTCCTTGCTTTCTTTCGTCTGTCATAACCAGCTCTCTGCACAGTTCCTTCTAATGTTCTTTTTGTTTTCTAAATTTTCTGCTGGCTTTTTTGTTAATTTCCACATTGATATATGCCTCTAGGACCTTGAACAACTGGCAGCAGAGCTTCGAGCCGAAATTGTGCACTCTCTATCAGAGACCGGTGGGCATCTTAGCTCAAGCTTGGGAGTAGTGGAGCTCACAATAGTTTTGCACCATGTGTTCGACACACCTCAAGATAAAATTATATGGGACGTCGGCCATCAGGTAAGAGTCTGGAGCGACTCGGTTCTATTCCGTAATCGGAAAATAATTTTTTAAGGTAATTTTTTTATAAAATAGTTTGTTAAAAAATTTAATATTTTTTTGTAGTTTGAATAAACTATGAAAAATATTTTTTATTGTTAGAATAAATTGAGGAAAATATTTTCTATTCACTTATAAATTTTTCTACCATAAGCTATATTAAAAAATTTTCCGCTAATAATTATAATAAAATAAAAAATAAATTACTCTTTCTCTTAATTTTTTAAATAAAAAAAAACTAACCGTGACTTCCTTTTTATCTTCTTCTCTATCTCTCCAATAAACACTTTCAAACACTATAAACAAAAAAAATTCCAATTATCTAAAGAAAAAAAAATGAAAGTTTATTATTTTATTTTTGCTTTAATTTTTTTTATTTTCAATTTTTGAGAGAGTTAGACTAAACTTCGAACAACGAAAGCAAGAAATCTCCATTTTCCCCTTATTTAGTTGAGTCCAATTCACGACTTGTTCTCCAAGAAGTCTTCCGATGATTTTTGGACCAATTCGACTTTGAAACGGCTTTTCATGAGGTCGATCCCTCTGCCTTTACCGACGAAGCATATTAGGGCGAAGCTTGCACGGTAAGCTGACTGAGGTCACAGGGTCGGAAGGAAGCGAGGTGAAGCTGGTACCACGGGCAGAAGTTGGCGATACTGGACTAGATACCAGCTTTTATTTTATGAGCCATTAAACTCATTTCCAGTGCTTGGAAGATCAATTTTGTATATCTGGCCAACATTTGGTTCCTTGACTTGCATCTCAACAATGTTTAATCTTTTCTTAATGCAAAAAATGGGGGTGGTTTTATTTTGTTTTCAACCTTAACCACTTTGGGAGCAAGTATGAGTTTGGATAGGAGGGATTAAATTGTCTTGCGCCCATTGGCGGGATTAAATCGATGTTTACTCGAAAATGTTTTACCCCCAACAAATATTTTCAGCCTTCCAAACAACAGAAAATGGGGACAAAGTTTTCCGAAATGCTATTTACAACATACCAAACGGATCCTCATTTTCACACGGAAGTTCACCAGTAGGTAGCAGATTTAAATGCCTCTTAAAATCGTAGAAGATGGTCCTGAAAGCAATAAAATTGCAGGCATACGCTCATAAAATTCTG